AGGAAGCAGTTTATTGACTCCCAGTAGGCTGCCTTCAAGCACACCAAATGCTGGTCCTATCTGACTGGACCTTGTGAGAGGGTAAAGATAGGCCCTTGCTACTCAATATGTGGTAAGGAGGCCAGTAGAATCTGTATCACTAGGGAGCCCTTTAGAAATGCAGAATCTGCAATCTTCCCTCAACAGAACTGTTGAATTAGAATCTGCATTTCAATGAGATCCTAGGGTGGTCAAGTTTGAGAAGCACTGGCCTAGGCCTCTATGGCTCCTGGACAAGCTCACCTTACCTGTTAGCATTCTTTATTAATTCATAATTGTATGAATTTGTAAGATCTGCGCTAGCCAGTTTCTTCATCTGTAAAATGGGGACTGTAATGCTTACTTGGTGAATTCTGATAATGCATGTAAAATATCCAGCACAGCACCTTAGACGTGGTGAGTGTTCTTTAGTGGTAGCCATTATTAAGTCTGTATCTTCATCTTCTTGGATTTAAACAGCCTTTTGGAAGTCTTCATAAATAAGACCCCTACCTCCCCAAAAACTTGCATGGAGGGGGGCATTGATGGCTGGTTTATAATTAAAGATATGCCTAATTTCTAATTTAATGGAATAGCTGGGATGACTTTGGGAAGCACAGAAGTTGCTTGCTTTGCAGGGTTGAATGGTTGATTTCTAGCAATACCTAGATATTAATGCTTGTAGCTCTGAGATAAGAGCATGCATTTAAAGACACTGACCATCACAGTGATTTGATGCAAATCAAAAACAGTGAGATACTACCACAATACATTAGAATGGCTAAAATTAGGAATACATATCAAGTGTTGGTGAGGATGTCAAGAAGCTATAATTCTCTTTCATTGCTGGTGGAGATGTAAAATAGTACAATCATTTTAGAACAGTGTTTGGCAGTTTCTTAAAGGGTTAACAATAAAAAGGAACAGACTCTAACAGGCAGAAAATGAGTAAGGACAAAGTTGAACTAAATAACATCATCATGAATGGGATATAATTGACATCAGGAGACTATTTTACCCAATAACAGCAGAATACACATTTTTCTCAAACTCACATGAGACAGTAAGGCAGACCACATTCTGGGCCATAAAACACACCTTAACAAATTGAAAATAATTGAAACAAATAATGTCTGCTCTGAGACCACAATGGAATTAAACTAGAAATCAGTAACAGAAAGATAGCAGGAAAATCCCAAAATACATATGGAGATTAAACAACACATTTCTAAATAACATGTGGGTCAAAGAAGAAATCTCAAGAAATTTAAATATAAAAATATTTGAACAAAATGGAAATGAAAACACAGCTTATAAAAAAAAAGAAAACACAGCTTATCAAAATCTTGTGGTATGTGGTAACAGAAGTTCTTAGAGCGAAATGTATAGTAATGAATGCATTTGATGGAAATGAAGAAAGATCTATAATCTGTAATGTAAGACTCAACCTTGGGAAACTGTAAAAAGAAGACCAAATGTAAGTAAGCAGAAAAAATATTAAGAATGGAAGGAGCAATCAATGAATTTGAAAATAGAAAATCAGTAAAGGAAATCAATAAAACCAAAAGCTGCCTCTTTGTAAAGATCAATAAAATTGGTAAGCCTTTAGAGAAGCTAACTAAGAAAAAAGAGAAAGGACACAAATTACTAATATCAGAAATGAAAGAAGGGACATTACTATAGATACGATGGACATTAAAGAGGATAATAAAGGAATATTATGTCCAACTTTATGCCCATGAATTTGATAACCTGGATGAAATCAAACAATTCTTCAAAATATGTAATTTGTCACAACTCATATAAGAAGAAACAATCTGAATAAACCTATATCAACCTATATATTTTATATATTACATATACATATAGATATATGTCATATATATACATTACACACATATATATATATATATATATATATATATATATATATATGTCAGCCTGTATCAGTAATTAATAACCTTCTAAAACAGAAATCACCAGACCCAGATGGATTCACTGGTCAACTCTGCAAAGAAATTATACTGAGGTGCCTGGGTGGCTCAGTCAATTAAGCATCTGACTCCTTATTTCAACTCAGTTCATGATCTTGTGGGTTTGTGAGGTTGAGCCCCACGTCAGGCTCTGCATTGACAGTGAAGATTCTCTCTTTCCTTCTCTCTGCCCCTAACCCAATAATGTACTCTCTCTTTCTAAATAAATAAATGAACTGTAAAAAAAAGATAGAAAAGCAGTTCTATACAGTTTATTCCAGAGGATGGAAGCAGAGAAAATACTCCCTGCTCATTCTGTAAGATCAACATTACCCTACTAACAAAACCAGACAAAGACATTACAAGAATAGAAAATGAAAGACCAATCTCTCTCATGAGCAAAGATGCAAAAATCTTTAACGAAATATTAGCAAACTGAATCCATCAATGTAGAAAAAGAATTATACACCATAATTGAAATCTATTCCAGGTATGCAGTGCTGGCTCAATAATCAAAAATCTGTTAATGTAATCCATCACTTTAACAGGATAAAAAAGGAAAAATCACATGATCATATCACTTGATACAGGAAAGCATTTGACAAAACCCAACACACATTCATGATAAAAGCTCTTAGTAAATTAGGATTAGAGGGGAATTTCATTAACTTGATAAAGAAGAGCCACATCCAACCTACAGCTAACATCATACTTGAGAAACACAAAGCTTTTCCACAAAGATCAGGTACAAGCTAAGGAGGTCTCCTCTTACCACTCCTTTTCAATATTATATTGGAATTTCTAGCTAATGCACTAAGGCAAAAAAAGGAAATTAAAGGTATACAAATTAAAAAGGAAGAAATTGTTTTTGTTTGCAGACAACAAGATCATCTATGTAGACAATGTGAAATAATCAACAAAACTAGAACCCATAAGTGATTATAGCAGTATTTCAAGATAGGAGTTTAATACACAGAAGTTGGTTGCTTTCCTATATGCAAGTAATAAAGAAGTGAAATTTAAAGTACAATATCACTTATGTTAGCATTCCCCAAAATTAAATACTTAGGTATAAATCAAAAATATGTACCAGATCTATATGAGGAAAACTACAAAACTCTGATGAATAAAATCAAAGAAGAACTAAATAGAGATGTTTTCTATTCACGCATAGGATGTCTTAATATTGTCAAGTTATCAGTTCTTCACAACTTGATCTGTAGATGCAATACAAATTTAATCAGAATCCAGTAAGTTATTTTGTGGATATCAACAAAGCAATTCCAAAGCGTATATGGAGAGGCAAAACAAAACAAAACAAAAAACCACAAAGAGCTAACACAGTATTGAAGAAGAGCAAAGCTGGAAAACTTATAGTCCTCAACTTCAGGACTTACTATAAAGCTACACTAATTAAGATACTGTTATTGGCAGAAAAACAGATGAATAAATCAATGGAAGAGAATAGAGAGCCCAGAAATAGTCAACTGATTTTTGGCAAAGGAACAAAACCAACATACTAGAGCAAAGATAGTTTTTTAAACAAATAGTGCCAGGAACAAGGGGACATATACATGCAGAAAAATTAATCTAGACACAGACCTTAAATTCATCACTAAAATGAACTCCAAATAGAATCATAGCTTTATGTGTAATATGCAAAACTATAAAACTCCTAAAAGATAATGTAGGAGAAAATCTAGACGACCTTGAGTATGGTGATGACTTTTTATATACAACACCAAATTCAGGATCCATGAAAGAAATATTTAAAAACATATACTACATTAAAATTAAAAAACTTCTCTAAGAAAAGATAATGTCAAAAGAATGAGAAGCCACAGACTGGGGGAAGTTTTTTGCAAAAGGTACATCTGATGAAAGACCGGCATTCCAAATATGTAAAGAACTCTTAAAACTCTACAATAAGAAAACAAAAACGCAATTAAAAAAATGGGCCAAAACCTTGAAAGATAACACATCAGAGAATATGGTAAATAAGCATATGAAAAGATGCTTTACGTTATATCTCATTAGGGAAATGCAAATTAAGACAATGAACTATCCCTAGGTGCCTATTAGAATGATTAAAATCTGGAACACTGACAAAAAATTCTGACAAGGATGTAGAACGATGGGAATTTTCATTAATTGCTGGTGGAAATGCAAAAGAGTACAACCACTTTGGAGGACAGTTGATCAGTTTCTAGCAAAACTAATCATACTTTTACAATAGGATACAGAAGTCCTTGTTATTTATATTTACTCAAGTAAGTTGAAAACTTATGTCCACACAAAACCTGCACATATTTATAATTACCAAAATTATAGCAGTTTTATTCATAATTATCAAAATTTGGAAACAACCAAGATGTCCTTCAGTAGGTGGATATACAAACTGGTACATCCAGAAAATGGAATATTATTCTGTGCTAAAAAGAAATGAAATATCAGTCCATGAAAAGAGGTAACCTTAAATACATATTACTAAATCCATGGAGCCAATCTGAAAATGTTACATACAATGTGATTTCAATTATATGACATCCTGGGGTAATGCAAAACTATGGAGACACTTAAAAGATCAGTGGTTACCAGGGGCTAGGGGGAGGCAGTGATAAGTAAGCAAAGCAGAGCAGAATTTTTAGGGCTTTGAAACTCTACAGTATGATGCAATAGTGGTAGATACACACACCTCCTTATACATTTGTCCAAACTCAGAAATTATTACACTAGGAGTGAACTTTAATTTAAACTATGGACTTTGGGTAAAAATGTTGTGTCAATGTAGGTTCATCAGTTGTAACAAATGTGCCACTCTGGTGCAGTATTTTGATAGTGGGAGGGAATTTAATGGGATGTAGGTGCTCTCTGTGAAATCTCTGAACCTGCCATTCAGTTTTGCTGTGAACCCAAAACTTCTGTATAATATTACAGAAGGCCTGATATAGCCTATTTTTTTTAAAGTATATCATGCAGAGGTTAGTACGTTGAATAAATATACTTTCTATATGATACTTCACATCTCTCTCACTGCAGTAGAATGTCTGTCAGAATAGAATACCAAGCAGGAGAGACAGTTGTGACCTACACAAGAATTATGGACCTAGAATTCCGCTAGAAGAAGCCAATTTAAAACAAGAGGAAGATTGTGTATTTTTACATAAGTTAACCTCTCCTTAATGATCATGGCGCTGAAGATGCTGACAGCTGCCAGTTGCTTTGTGAAGGCCATGTTGCGACCTTCTCCTCTCTGCCATTCTTGGGAGATTTTATTTGGCCGTGAGACCTCACCGAGGAGCTTCTCTTTTAAACACGGTATTCCTCCATCAGCCAAGTATGGTGGGCGACACAACTATGGAGGGCGACTATGATTCCTGGGGATGGCATCGGGCCTGAACTTATGCTGCATGTTAAGACTGTGTTCAGACATGCATGTGTGCCTGTGGACTTCGAGGAGGTGATAGTTAACTCCACTTCTGGTGAAGAGGACGTTCACAATGCCATCATGGCAGTCCGTCGAAACTGCGTGGCCTTGAAGGGCAACATCGAAACTGACCACAACCTGCCACCGTCTCACAAATCCCGCAACAATATGTTTCGCACCACGCTGGATCTCTATGCCAACGTTATCCATTTTAAGAGTCTGCCAGGAGTGGAGACAAGGCACAAGGATGTTGACATCTTAGTTGTTCGGGAAAACACAGAGGGTGAATACAGCAACCTGGAGCATGAGAGTGTGAAAGGAGTGATCGAGAGCCTGAAGATCATTACCAAGGCCAGGTCTTTGCGCATTGCTGAATATGCCTTCCAATTGGCCCAGGAGATGGGACGCAAGAGAGTGACGGTTGTGCACAAGGCCAACATCATGAAACTGGGAGATGGTCTCTTCCTACAGTGTTGCAGAGAGGTGGCCTCCCGCTATCCTCAGCTCACTTTCGAAGGCATGATTGTGGATAACACCACCATGCAGTTGGTATCTCAGCCCCAGCAATTTGATGTAATGGTGATGCCCAATCTTTATGGCAACATAGTCAACAACATCTGCACAGGGTTGGTTGGGGGAGCAGGCCTCGTGCCTGGTGCAAACTATGGCCATACGTACGCAGTGTTTGAAACAGCCTCAAGGCAATCAGGCAAGAATTTAGCCAATAAGAATATGGCCAACCCTACTGCCATGCTTCTGGCAAGCTGCATTTTGCTGGATTACCTCAAGCTCCACTCCTATGCCACCTCCATTCGCAATGCAGTCTTGGCGTCCATGGAGAACAAAGATGTCCATACTCCAGACATCAGAGGTCAGGGTACCACATCAGGTATCATTCAGAATATCACAACTCACATCAGTACTGTCAATTAAATGGTTATGCCTTGCAGGCTGAGCTACATCCAAGTCCTTCTCACTCTTCACCTTATTCTTCTCACTTAGAAACCCTAGCCTGCTTGGCTAGTGTGGACTCTGGAATAAACTGGCTCCTGCTCCAACTCAGAAGAGGCAGGGGAAGCAAATCAAAGCTGATTTTTTCTGTTAAATTAAAATGCCATAAATGCCATAAGCATTGCTTATTTAAATTAGCCAAACCTATTGTGTTGTGTACGTATTGAGGAATTCTTCTCTGTTTTAATTCACAATTCACACTTCTCTGTGATACGATACACTAAGTAAATCAGAGCTGTTTGTAGAGTCCCAGGGCTTTCACTGAACCTAGAACGCTCATTTTTCTCTTTATCTGGGTCATTAAAATTCAGCAAACCAGCCTGCAGAGAAGTCTGGCTTCTGTCTAGAGGTTGTTAATGAGTTAATTAGTGCAATAAAATTTGCCTACAAAATATACATTGTAACCTTAATAATAAATAAAGACCGTAAAGCTGAGCTAGTACAGAATGCTTCCACTCCCTCCTAGATCTCTCATCTTTTCCATGGTCATGTTTATGTTCCTAAGGAATTTTCGCTGTGTAGTTTTTCACACATGGACATCCCTGAGTACTTGAGCTCTCCTGGAAAGCGCATTCTTGGATTCCTTCTAGTTGGACTCAAGAGTCTAGAGGTCAACTCCCCAGTGAAGAGGCACATGGCCCATAATTCTTCACTGTACAAATGTAACCATGCACTGTAACTCCATGTTCACTGCTTCATAGTCTGTGATAGTTTACTTTCTTTTAATCTCTTTTTTTTTTTTTTTTTTTTTTTGAGGAAAGAGTGTGCAAAAGAAAACGAAAAGCACTGGGCTAATTTAAATGTTTGCTGTCAGTTTATTTACAGAATTTTTAAGGCCCTAGTTGGGAAATACACAAAGAAAAATGATGATGTTATCAGAGCTCAGAAATAGTTATTATTTAAGTTGGAAATGAAAATAATGGTTATGAGAACTTTCAGTGGCTTCATCTGCAAGAATGGCCTGCAGACAAAAATAAAATTGAGAAAAGAGTGCATAGTTAAAGTATTTTGGAAACTTTTGTGTCTCAGCTTTAACCTTTGGATTTCACTGTGGTTGGTTCATGAACCACAAGTTAAAGACAGTGGACTTAGACTTGAAAAATTCCTTATGGTTCCCAAAAGTCTCTGCCTTAACATATTACCTTATATTAGCTTCATTATGTATAAAGTCAGGGTCCGGGTTTGGAAAACCAAATGCTAGTTTGCAGGGACTTCATTTGAGGAGGAAGTGACTGTCTACCTATCTGTGACTCTGTCTTTAAGAATAAAGCTAGTAGAGATAAGTTAGTTATAATCATGGTATTCTTTTAGCGGACTTTTACACATGTTGCTAGCCAGGGCCGCCACTGGCCTACAGTGTGATGCCTTGCTCTGGACAGATCTAGATCTGCACCAGAGGCATGGTTTGATGATACAGCAAGGGGTAATTTTTGGCATGAAGTCCTCCCCCCTGCAATGCCACATAACCCCATCCTACCTTAACCCACAGTACCCGCTTTATCTTTTCCTCTCATGACTAGGGGAATTTGTTCATGGCACAACCGGCCCAAATGCAGACAGTAACCTGGCTATTGGCTTCTATTTGACAGTGGGAGTTTATGCTGATAAGTACATTTGAGCTACAGTTTGCCTTTCTGTTAAAGGTGGTTGTCTCCAGAGTCTTCCCACAGTTGTTAGGTCAGACTACCTTGATGGCACCTATTATACCATGGTGGAACTTTCCATTTATCAGTGTTAGATTTTTCCCACTTAGCTATGAGCATTTCTAGGACAAATGCTATGTATTCTATTTCCTTGTCCTGTGTAGCCCCTAACATAATGACTGATACAGACAAAATAAACAATATGTATTTATTGAATCACCAAAAAATGAATGATTTTGTGTCCTGCCTATAATTGAGCCCCCTTAAATCTGTTTTCTGCAATGCCTTCGGTAAGATCTTTCTGAAAGGAAAATTGTATCATGTCACTTTCCTACTTAAAACCTCTCATTGAGTGGCTTCCCTTTGGCCTTAAGAGAAAGTCAACTGAGTGTACATGAAAGACCTCCCATGGTGTGAGACCTGCTTCCTTCTCTAGGTTCACCATTTCCATCCCTTCTCTTCACTCCAGTAACAACACAGTGTGGCACCCCAAAAAGTGTGCAGACAGAGGTCATTTTTAAAGAGCCATGTATCCTTTCGAGGTCATACCTTTGCACATGGCCTTGGTTCCTTTCCCCTTCAGGAGATGACGGCCTTTTCATTTTAGAGGACTAAGCTTGATCATTACCACCTTTGGGAAGCTTCCTTGACCAACTCTCTTTCCATTCCCTGCTGAGATGGAGGGGAGTAGCTCTCCCAGTTCTCCTAGAGAGCTCTGTATATCCTACCTAGTATGCATATCTCTGGTTATCATTACGCGCTTTCCTTCCCATCAGCCTTACTATACAGTCCATTCTTTGGCTACAGGAATGAAGGAGTCATTCATCCCTACAACATCAGGCCTGATACAGGGATAAACTCTTACTTGCTGCTCACTCTCAGTATTTATGGAAGGCAGATAAAAAGGTGGAAAGAAAAGACTGGCCTGAATTCACAGATAGGACTGGAGGACTGGAAGAATTACTGTATTGCAAAATACTCCTGTCTGGCTTCAGTCTATGAACCTTTCTTTATAAGACTGCTCCTCTCTAAAGAACTTTACTGCCCTCAAGGCAGTAAAATAGGTGGTTGGCAGGCTGCCTTTGTTTCCTGAGAAGCTTTCTGTACTACGTTAATGGATACTTTTATCTTAGGCTTTATCAATTTACTCTGCTTCACTTAAAGTCCTGATGCTATAAAGAACAGCAGCTACAGATTGTCTTATTTTTCTCTAAATTAACTCCTCTCCGTTATGGCTCTATTTTAATGGCCTTGCAAATCATTCAGGTTGCATAGCTGACATTCATCTCAGCTCTTCCACATAAGAGCTCTGTGACATTGGATAAATTCCTTAGCCTCTCTGATCTCCAGTTTGCTAATCTGTAAAATAAAAGTAATTACTTTGCTTCATAAGATTGTTATAAAAATTAAATAAGGTTGTTTGGTTTGGCAACAGCTGTGTAAGAAACCAGTTCAAAATTTAGTGGCTGAAAGCAAGTAATTGTCATGAGTCTGTCGAGTGATCAGATGATACTTCTCTCATCAGTATACTTTCTTGAGGGCTATTAAAAAGAATAATCTCAAATCCTGATGTCCATAAATATCAATATAAAGATACTAAACTGTATCACTTCATAATTACCTGTCCCTACCACCATCTCCATAGGCTTGCTTTTATAGAAGGATGCTTTAATGTTCTTACTTCAGCTTTCCTCAAGGTCTGGTATGTGAAATCTTGTTAGGGGACAGCTCTGAAAACAATGAATCTGCTTAAAAGGCCAACAGAAAAGATTCCCCTCAGAACTGAGAACCAGGAAAACTTGAGTTTTTCACCATGAATTTGTGTTCTTCTACCAGGTAATTATATGAAGTGGAAACATAAAGGATGGTTTATTTTACAAATAGGAGAATTTTGAAGAAATGTATCCAGTTCTGGATCATTACAGAGGTTGCAAAAAAAAAAAAAGATAGTATTACCATAGGCTCAGTTGGGAATATGCAAAATATCTGCAGGAAGCTGATTACAGAGCTAGAAATTGTTTGGAGGAAGGCACTTGGTCCTTGGAGTTTCCCTGGCAATTTGAATAACATGGGTACCCAATGTGGTAAAGTGTTCTTTACATCAAAGTGAATTTGCTTACACTGATATGGGAAGCTACATACATTGCATTTGTGATTGCCCCAAGAAACACGGAACAAAGAAAGTAGATATATTTTAAGTGGGAAAAAAATTGCTCTTTACAAAAGCAATTAAGAAAAATTGGAATACCTAGGGGCACTTGGGTGGCTCAGTCAGTCGGGCATCCCACTTCAGTTCACTTGTGGTTCATGGGTTCAAGCCCCACGTCGGGCTCTGTGCTGACAGCTCAGAGCCTGGAGCCTATTTTAGGTGTCTCCCTCTCTCTCTGCCCCTCCCCTGGTTGTGCTCTCTCTCTCTCCCTCTCCCCCCCTCCAAAAAAAATAAACAAACATTAAAAAAATTGGAATGTCTTGTTACCAATGTTGCAAATGCTTAAGACCAATATAGCCTGAGTGTAAAAGCAGTATCTCAGAGGAAGACTAGCCTTGGCACTAATAAGCTTACACATCTGATTTGCTACACTTAGTACCAAATCTCCTTCATGCAAAATAGATATAAATGAATGAATATTGCCACAAAAGAGAGAATATCATATATGTCCAAGTACAAGGCATTTTCCTTTTTTTCTATCCCTCAACAAAAAAGAATTGCCTTAAATTCAAGTCCTTATAAGTGTTCTCTTATGACTAGAGAACTGGGCTTTTGTTTTGAACAATAAGAAGCTATTTGGAGGACGGGGGAAAAATGACATGAACTATGCCAGTTTAGGATTTTTATAGAATTTATTTGTAGCATAAAGGTTAAATGGGGGCAAAAAAAAAATCACTTAACAAAGAATTAGTCATTATTCCTGGAAGTGTGTTCTCACAAATGCAAGTATTGAATGTTATTACATATATGCCTTTTAAAAATCACTTAATAACGCAGTTCAATTTTGGTCACCATGTAGAGGTCACAAATATTTACCTGTTAGATAAATGAGAAAACAAGAAGTCTTAACATTATGCAATTCGATTCTTGTGACTTCACTGGAAATTTCCAACGAAGGCATGAAACACAGATTCAAAAAGTGCTTTATCTCAAACAGACAGGTACGATGATGATAGGTTTGGAAAATTTTAGAGAAGGTGAAAAATGACTCTGTATTGGGGAAGACCTTGAGGTCAAGATGCATGGGAAGAGGTTAAACAAAATTATTTGATATCATGGTAAAGGATAATCATTCTAAATTAATCTATTTAATGTAGCCTATTAAGTAATGTATTTAATATAACTATGCATGATAACTAAATCCATCAATCAAACTTTATACATGGGTGTCTATTTAATATGCTTCTCAAAGTTGTTCAACTTTGCCGAGAATATTTTTCTTTCTTTTTTAGATGTTATTATTGATAAAAAGGGAATCATTCT